AATACGAGGAATAGTTTATAATATAATAAATAAGAAAATGAAATCGATTAAGTATAAATATAGCCTAGGGTATTAACCCTTAACTCTTATTTTAGCTTATATCTGTCTAGTAAAATTTCTATCTGCTCAAGGTAACTCCTTTATTTTATTTAGCATTTAATTAGATTGCAGTTAAGACTGCTAGACATGCGAAAATTATTAATGTACCTATTGCTAATAAGGATTCTTTCTCTTTAATGACCTAAATGACCAATTAATCCGATGCATACCGGATTGTGAATTGGCGAGCAATGACTAGTTTTTCTTCAAAAACAACAGATATAGTGGAGCATGTGAGCAAATCTAGTCTACTACAATTAATTGTCACGAAGCTTGCTTGATTTGTAATTTAAATGATCAAACTTAGTGCTTAAAATGTAAAGAAAATGACGAATATGCAAATAATTTCCTCCTTTAATCTGAATGTACTTAAAAATAAACTAGTCATGAAGATATTACGATTATCGTCACAAATAATAGAAACGCTATTGAAAATGATTATTTGAAAACAAGACTTACAGATGCTATTAGTTATGCATTTTATTTGCAAGAATAATATATTGAGACTATTAATATAAAAATTCTCTTGCAAAAAGACGACAATAATGATTCTGATTTTTATATATTGAAGGATGATCTAAACAGTAATTTCAAAAGTCAAAGTATTTATAAGAAATCCATATTAAGATTAGCACTTATGTAATAAACATTTAATTAATAATTATTTAGGTCGCCTAGTGGCAAAAAGTATACTGTTTTTAATAAGGTCGGCCCAATTTTTCAAATTGGTGGTGCTAAAATTGTAGCAATTCAAGACATAATATTTGATTCCATAGATTCTGTTATAAAATGTAAATTAGTTGAATATAAATTTTTTAGTTGATTCTAATTCAAATTGCCTAAATTAAATTAGTCCTTGCTGTACCTATGATTAAAACACCAATCAAATCAATTGTGGTTCTGATATCGCTGAAGAAAACATCTACATTAAGAAGTAAAACTTTTTACTATGTTACACAAATATTTTAGAACTCACTCATGCTAAGAACTTTTTTCAAGTATGCTAAACATCTATTCTGATCCATCAAATGACAATTCAGAAAAGCAGCTTACTATTTCAGTATATTAATTATGTTGAACTTTTAGGGAGTGGAGTTTAAAAACTTTATATTTGAATTTGGATCCTTAATCAGATTACCACAAGGAATTTAATATATGGTTACTATATAAAATAGTAAATTCACAAAAATCTCAAGTTGTGGTGCAATTTTGAGGAGCTTAGGAGAATATTCTATGAACACAACAGAAAAAGAAATTATTAATAGTGCATTCTTTAAATCTAGTTAAGTATCTTCAGCACTTCCATTAATTATAATATCTGATTCAACTTTTCAAGACTTTTGGTTGATTAAGAATTATTATTTGACTGGAGTTGAACCATACGATAGTTAATACCCTCATGTTGGATTAATTGTTAATCTAAATGATTACACTGGTAATTTGTACTTTTAATCAAATATTTTCACAAAAATTCAACAGCCAATAGAATTTTGCAATTAATATAAGTATATTCAAGGTTAATCAGTCGATCAAAGTCTCTAATTTGTGCATTTGATGAAAATAATAAATTTTTAAAAAGGTAGCATCAAACTAACCAATAATATATTCAGCCAAATTGCTCTTACTCACTCTATATTCTATGCTTTTGGAGTAAAATCCGAGGAAGCTTCAATAGCTCTATTGGAATTTAGTGACAATAATTTTAAAAATATTATTGCATACACCAATACAGATATTATACATATCGAAAAAACTTTTGACAGCTATTTAAAGCAGCATATTTAATGCTCAAGCAATGTAAAGATTCAAAGAAATACCTTTTTCAAGGTTATTGGATGTGAATTAGTTAACAATGGATTGATATTTATATCTTGTTCTAATTTGACTACGATCGGAGTCCAAAATAAAATCGAAATGTTTCTTTAAAAACCTACTTTTACTAATTATACAAATAATTTGGAAGCAAACTGAGACGATTTTGTAATAAAATATAAGGATAATTAGAATCCTATAACTTTATTTAAGAATAGCTTTACCTAAGTATTTATGGGTGTAACATTAGATATTGATTTTTCAACATTTAATATTTATAAAGGAGCCCTAATAACAATGTGGAATATCCCTTATCTAAAAATGTATGATGACAATTTTAAAGATATAGGTTCATATACTACAGAAGAGTTCATGATTATCTTTAAATCTGTATTTGGAAGAGATTTTATTGTTGATAGTAGCAACTAAGTCAAACTAAGATTAGGTGAGATTCCTACAAAAAACTCTGATTTTCATTCTAAACTGATAAGCTGTTGCCTGTTTTATTTAATTGGTGGTTTTAATTTCACATTTTATGGATCCACCTTTGATAATATTTGGTAACTTGATAGATATAGTGCTCTTCAGCAAACAAATTAGAATGCGTTAGTTGCATATTTTTTCAATTTTTATGGAAATTTAAGTATTGGAAGTAGTGTTGAATAATCATTTATAACAATAAAGAATTGCTAAGGTCTTTTAAATCCTTATACAATTCAAAATTATGGATGGTAAAATGTTGAGAAATTTAAAGCTAATAGTTTATAACTAACTGGTATTGGGTCTTAGATATTTAATACCTTCCATAAATCTAATAGTCTTTCAAAACTGATATTTAAAAACATCAAGTTTTAGGATATATTCAGCTTTGATGATTAAGTTCCATTGTTTTCTTACTTTAATCCTTTAATTACAGCCTTTAGACAAACAGAAGATTCGATTACTTTTCTTATTAGTTTAACTCTTGAGAACATATTTGTTGAATGATGTTTTAGTGAATCTGCTAATTACTTAATTTCTATTTTTGCTAATGAAACAAAATTGTAGAATATGAATTTCCTCAATAATTCTAATCATTATTTTACGAATAGAATTTCATCAAAGAAATCAAATTTAACTGCTCCTTTAATAGCAATAAATTTTTACCCTAATCCTAATTACTCATCAATAATTACTGATTCAATATTTCGAAATAACTATTTTGACAATTCATCAACAAAAGCAGGGTTAATAGGACTTGCAACTGCATCTGATAATAATACTTCATAATTTGATGTTAAAAATTCTATTTTTGAAGATAATTACTGGGGTTAATAAGCAGTGATTTACTACTTAAATTTGAGAGGTTATGCTTTTAATTTCCCAACAATCTTTGAGAATTGCACATTCAAAAGAAATTTCGCTATTAGTAAGTTATATTTTTTTAATTTATTATTTAGATGGTTTATTTTCGCAAACTTAGTAAATCAGTTTAATTAAGTTCTAGAATTGTTTCTTTTAGGAAAATGGAGGAAATTTTGGAGCTTCTATTTACGTGACAGATTAAATAAGCGCATTGATGATTATTGATTGTAAATTCTATGGAACTTTTGCGTCTAGAAGACAAAATTATTACATTGATAACATCAATAACCCTGAAATGTTAGGATGAATTTCTTCAAGCATAATAGGGTCATCAACAAGAGCTGCTTAGATCTACGCATATAAAGCTCCCAGTAATTTACATTTCATAAGTTCTTTAATCTTAACTTTTTAGATATAATAATAGACGAATGTACTGTAAGATATCCTTCAGAAAGTTTGGGAGGAAGTTTTTTATCTTTAACATTCGGATCAATAGTTACTCTAAAAAACACTTTGATAGAGGGTATGTTGTTTAAATCTTTTAAAATAATATTCTGTAGAAAATGCAGCCTATTATGCTGGAGCTATTCTCATACAATAGAGCAATGTTTGGAGGAGTTTTAATTGGATCTAGTGTAGCATTGGTGACTGTCAAAGATACATAATTCTTAAATAATTTTGGAAATTAGTTTGGAGTTATTAGACTTTCAACATAAATTACTTACTCTTTTGAGAATTGCAAATTCATCAATAATGGAGCAACAGGAGCAGCTTCTACAATGATTTTGATTGAAACTTATCCTGGAATTATTAAGGACTGTGAGTTTAGGGGAAATTACAATTTAGACAAATAATCTGGTCTTGGCCTAATAAACCTAATTTCGGCATCCTAGGCTTAGATAATTAACAGTAAATTTATAGATAACTATGCAAATTACACTCATCCTGGAATATATATGACTTTGAGTTCAGTAGTAATCATAGATTGTTTATTTGAAAATACAAAATCACTCCAGCTTTACAACAAATACTTTAGCTACAATGGAAACTTCATTTAAGTTTTATCAGACTCTAGAATTGATATAAATAATACAATATTTAGAAACGGAAGAGCGATGTAAGGGGGAGCTATTTATCAAGTTGGAAGTTCTATGCTATATATTAACAATTGTACTTTCATTAATAATTCAGCAACAGGCTCTGGAGGAGTAATTTATTCAGTTGCATTTAGGTCCCTATATATCTCAAATAATAGTTACTTCTTTAATAACAAAGCTGGAAAGTCTGGAGATTGTATATATTCAGATAACACCTAAGAGGAGATACTTATTAATGAAACGTTTTTCCTTTCAGAATATAACTCAAATTTTCTATATCTTAATTAGATAGGGAAATTTCAGATGAATGATACCATTCTTAGAGGAAACTAAAGTGTAAGAAGCCTGAACAATTCTGGTATCTATATAAAGAATGCAAAACAGATGCTTATCAGAAATATTACAATTAGCAATATAACTAATTAGAAGGTTGGAGGATGTCTGTATATGAATTAGGACTTGCTTGAAAAAGATTTTACTCCAAAGGCTATTGAGGGAAATGAGTAGTTAATTATTCTGAATAGTACATTCAAATTTTGCTAAGCTTAAAAAGGAGGAGCAGCCTATTTTGAGGACGTTCAAGGACTTTTAATAGGGAATAATTCCAATTTCTTCTATAATAGAGCGTTTAAGGAAGATTCAGCATTTGGAGGAGCAATAGATTTTTATTGTTAATTTGGGGAAGCAAGCTATTAAAAAACTTCGGAAGGAAAATAAATTTATCTGTGTTCTCTATAAATTGATAAAACTACATTTTTCAATAACACTTCTGCTTATGTAGGTGGATCGATTAGTTGGAATTATCTTGAACCAATAATGGGTCCGAGAATAACCCTTACTAGAAACTATGCCAATATCTATGGAGATAATATTTCAAGTGTGGCTAAATATATGACAAAACTTTCCACAGAATAATATAATTAACTCAAGATTATTCAAAATGATGATTAGAGAAGAAGATTTCTTTAAGCTATTTCTTCTGAGTTGATGAGTGCAACTAATACAAATAAGGATTCTTCTTAGATAATACAAAACTAGTAAAGTGGAGGAAATGTACCTAATCTATACTTTGCTCTTATTGATAAATATGGTTAGATTGTATACTCGGATTAGAATAGCAAGCTTTATGTTCAAGTCAATACTGAGGTAAAGAAAAATGAAAATCAATAATTTTCAGCAGCTTTTGAAGCCACTACATAATATAATATAATAGATGGAATATTCAATGTGGATAATCTAGTGCTCACAGCAACTCCTAATACAACAGATGGAATCGATTATAACCTACCTGATAATTAGCAAATATATAGCGATGCAGTAGAGTTATAATAATATAATGTTACAGTGCAATTAAGAACTTGCCTCGAAGGTGAGGAGTTACTTTCATCTGGAAAGTGTAGAAGTTGCTAAGGACCAGATTATTATCTACTAAAGAAAACTAGCAAAATAACTAATTGTCTTGAGTGTTAAAAGTCTAAATCATATTGTGATGGAGGAAATTAAGTTTTTCCAAAAGCAAATTATTGGAGATCAAGCATGGATAGTGATAACTTTATTTCTTGTAGAAATCCTATTGCATGCTTAGGAAGAAATGGTAAAGAAAATAATTATCTCGGATCTTGTAGACAAGGATATTAAGGAATATTGTGCATAGATTGTCAATTAGGTTTTTCAAGAACAGGTACAACATATCTTTGCTCTAATTGTCCTGATCCTACAGCAAATGCTTTTAGATTAATTGGATTGTTAACAGTCATGATAATGTTAATGTGTTTTATGGTAAGATCAACTCTTTAAGGGGCTCTAGCTAAGAAAAACTTTATATCAGTTTATGTAAGAATACTAATGAATCACTTTCAACTATTGACCCTCACTGCTTCATTTGACCTTTAGTGGCCTGAATAACTTTCTGAATTCTTTAATTTCGCGAAGCCTGTATCTGAATCTTCCACATAGTTTGTTTCAATAGATTGCTTTGTTGATCTTAGAGAAAATAATTAAGATAAGGGTAAAGTTAGAGTTATTTTATGGAAGACATTATTTTTTTCTATAACACCAATTATAATAATATTGGCATCCATTCTTGTGTGGAGAATTATTTACTTATTGAAGCCAATCAGATAAAATTCTAAGTCTAAAGTAAAATAATAGTCAATTAATAAATAAGATTAACATTAAAATTTTGAGGGAACTGAGGTTAATAATTTTTCAACTTAAAGATCAAAAATAGACACTTTCACTCTAGATTCAAATTAATAAGTCAAGACCTTAAAACATGCAGACTCATTTTTGTCTTTAAATTCAGACTAATTATTATCTTCTAATTAATAAACTCATTCTTAGCAATAAGAAACTTATGTTATGCAGTAATCCACAGAGTAGACTACTTAGAATTAAAATAATGAGGTCATCATGATGAAAGATGAAGAAATCGTTGATATATAAAAAATTGCAAAGACCGATAAAAAATTAAGAAAAAAAACACTTAGTGGTAAGTAAAATTTTAAAAGCCTATAACCTTATAGAGATAAAGAGGAAGTCAACATCGACAATAATTATTATTTTATTTATGGTCCATCCATCAATTACTACAGCGATGTTCAATATTTTCAAGTATAAACTATACTTTCTAAATAATTTTAAATAGCTGCCAAAATATTGATGGTACTAATAGACTTTATGATGATTTGGAGGTAATATGTGGAGACCATTATCATTATATTTTTGCAACTTTTGTAGCATTGCCTTGCATTTTAATTTGGAGTAAGTTAAAATTAGTAAATAACGCTTTAATCTAGGTCTTGGAATTCCGATGTTCGGATTTTTCAGATTATACAGAGGAAGATTAAATTTAGACAAATTTAAGACAAAATAGACTCTTGGATTCCTTTACAATGGCTATCGCAACCATTCATATTACTGGGAGATTATTATAATGTATAGGAAAATTACTATAATATTTATTTCTGTATTCATGGCTTAATCTGGGAAAATTGTTCAGGTAATTATTCATTAGTCAAATATTTTAGGCTATGATGATTTTATTATTTCTAACATTGTGCATTGCAATAAATGCCTTTAAATAGCCATTTGCCAATTTCAGATTAAATACTTTAGAATAAATTTCATTAGCAAGTAGTGTTTTAACAGTTTATTGTGGAATTTTCTACATAGCAGATGTAACATTAACCTCAGAGTCATAATGTAATTCATTTAGCCAACTTTATTACATTTAGTTAATTTGGGAGAAGATGCAAAGCTTGCACTATTTGCCTTGATAGTAATTTCAAATGCAATTTTCTTTGGCTATTGGGTAACATAGTTTCTTCAAGAAATAAAAACAACTCTTCGAAGCAAAAATCCATTGATTTATAAATATCTCTATCTTTGTGGTAATAATAGGATACTTGAAAAAGAGATAAAGATTTAGAATCTTGTTGAGAAATAGCAAGATTTCATCAATGATATAGAAAAGATCAATGACTGTAAGAAAATTTATTTTAACTCACTATAGATCTAATTGAACAAAAGAAAGTTTACTAAAGCGGTCGTATTCCTTAAGAGGATAAAGATTTTAAGAAAGCTATGATTGCATTGTAATAATTCTAAAAAGAAACAATGAATAAGAGGAAGTTTAATAAGCAGGAAACAACAAACTTAGATAATTATTCTCAAGTGGTTGCTGTCAGGTCGACCCTAAGAAATACTGTCAAGTCATTTCAGCAGTAGTTAACTGAAGATAAGCTGATAGATATTTAAGAATTAGAACTCTATTAGAATAATAAAGAGTAATAAATAATGTTAGAAGATTCAATGTATTAAAGTTCAATTGGTAATACTCAAGGTGAAGATGAATACTATTAAATTGAGCAAGAAATAAGTCAAATCTATAATAAACCAGTCCATACATTTGAAAATTCACAAGCTGATTTAAATGATTGGAGTTAAACAAATGCCGGCTTTTAGCTTCCATTTAGTCAAGAGGAACAGAAGAATCTCAATTAAATCTACAGAAATAAGACAAACAAGGATATTAAAGAGAGATAAACAAATTTTGAAAAAGCTCATTTACATTTCTAACTACCTTTAGAATAATCACAACAGAAAGATTAAAATTCTAGTAGATTTTAATAAAAGCTTATGCAATAGCATCCATTAACTTTCAGAGTGAATTTAGCCAGATTGAATGAAGCTTCACGATAGTATCAATCTCAAGAAATTGATATGGTAGATGATGATCTTACTCTTACATCAAGAAGAAATTTAGAAAATCCATATAGAAATTAAGGATAAAATAATGATTCTTTCGGTTTGCCCTATGATTCCAAATTACAACGAAATGAAGAGGATGATTTCTCATCAGGATTAGATCTTTTAGTATCAAATTTATAGACTAAAAGAATAGAAGAAGACATTATCACATTATAAAAGTCTAAAGAAACAATAGGCAATGCTAAAAATAGTAGAATTGTACTACGAAACAAAAAAAAGAAAAGCTAAAATGCGATTGAAAATTTAAACACTGGAACCATAAAGAAAAAAAGATTAAGGAAAAATAACCTGAATGAAGTACTTGAGAAATCTTTAACTAAAGAACTATGAATAATAGACATTATAGAATAAGAATAATTATATTCAAAATATAAGGAAATTGATTAATTCTTTAATATTATCCTTTCGAAATATATTCTAAATTAGGGGTTTTGGGGTTTTGGGG